CCGCCGGGGGCAGCGGGCGGCGGGGAGAGCCCCGCTCCGCACCGGGCCCCGCCCGGGCTCCCTCCGCCTCCTCGCAGAGCGGGAACCGCCTTGGGGCCGCAGGTGCCGACGGTGCCGGGAGCGGGAGCGCAGCGGCCCGCGAGCCCGGGGAGGGTCCCGGCGGGGCCGGTGCCCGGGGTCCCGCCCGCCTGAGGGTCCGCGATGTGGCGGGGGGGGCGGCCCATCCGCCGGGGTCGCTGCCGGTGGCGGCGCCGCCAGGAACTGCCCCGGGTTTTCCTGCGCCTCCCGGCGCGGGCCGGGGCCGGGCGGGCGCGGCGGGGCGCAGCCCGGGGACCCCGGCCCGGTATCAGTTCTGCTTTCAGCGGAGACGGCGATTTCGCAGTAACGGGGGGCGGGGGCCACCTGCTCCGGGGATTCCCCACCTGTCACCGGCCCATAAGAGCCCGGTGGCGGCGCCGGTGGCGGCACCACTTCGCCATGAGCCGCCGCCTCTGCCTCTGCCTCCTGGCGCTGCTGCTCCCGGTGCCGGTGCCGGCGCCGGTGCCGGCCCCGCGGCCGCTCCGCACCGACTGGGTGTCCTGCAGGAGCCTCTCCCGGAACCTGTCGCAGCTCCTGGGGGATCTGGAGGAGCAGCACGGCTTCCTGGTGAGCACCGGAGCGTCGGGACACCGCGGAGAACCGGCCGCGCTGGCGGCATCGCCGGGGACGGGACTGGGAGTGCTTGGGGGGCCCGGGGGCGCTACGGGGCCCGGGAGTGCGGAGGGACTGGGGGGGACTCGGATGTTGGGGCGCTGGGTGGCCAGGGGTGCCGGCGGATCTGACAGTCCCAGGGGACTCGGGAGATGCCCGGTCCGGGGGTGCCTGGGGGGCCCCGGGGTGCTGGGGGCTGCCGAGGGCTCCCGGGGCTGCCGAGGGGCCGGGGCTGCCCCCGCATAGGGGGGTCCCGGCAGCCCCCACTAACCCCCCCCACCAGAAGGACATCCGGCTGGACGAGGAGGCCCCCGACGAGGACTGGCCCCCCCGCATCCGCTGCAGCGACGCCTGCGACCCCTCCACGCTGGACACCAACAACACGGTACCGGGGCCGGGGTGTCCGGAGGAGGGGGACGTGACCGGGGGTCGTGGGAGGGGGCCCAATGAGCCGGGGGTCCCTGGGCTCCGGAGGAGGGCGATGTGAGCGGGGGGGTGGGAGGGGGTCCAAGAGCCCCTGGGCCGATGAGCTGGGGGGTCCCTGGGCTCTGGAGGAGGGGGATGTGACCAGAGGAGTGTGGGAGGGGGCCCAAGGGGCACCTGGGCTGATGAGCTGGGGGGTCCCTGGGCTCTGAAGGAGGGGGACGTGACTGGGGTGTGTGGGAGAGGGTCCAAGAGCCCCTGGGCCCATGAGCCGGGGAGTCCCTGGACTCTGGAGGAGGGGGATGTGATCGGAGCAGTGTGGGAGGCCGATGAGCTGGGGGGTCCCTTGTCCCTTGGGGGGCTCGCAGGGTCCCCGGCCGGGGTGCGGGGGCTCCCGGTGCGGCGGGCCGCCCGCGCTCAGGCGCCGCTCCCGCAGCGCTGCCTGCGGCGCATCCTGCAAGGGCTGCAGCACTACCGGGACCTGCTGGACTCGGACGTGTTCAGCGGCCGCCGGCAGCCCGAGCTGCAGCGGGCCCTGGAGCAGCTGCTGGCGCTCGTGCAGGTGAGCGGGGGCCGCGGTGGGGGGCTCGGGACCCCCGCCCGCCCGGGCCCGCCTCACCCGCTGCCCCCCCAGCAGGAGCAGGGCCGCCCCCCCCGGCGCCCGCCGGCCCCCAGCCCGCCCTGGGCGCAGGCGCTGCTGCAGCACCAGGCGCTCGAGCAGCTCCAGTCCTTCACGGCCGTCATGAGCCGCGTCTTCACCCACAGCGCCAGCACCCGCTGAGCCCGCCCGCCGCCACCCTCTATTTATTCCCCTCTGGGGGCTATTTATGTGTCACCTCCCCCCTATTTATCTCGCCTATTTATACATTTCTAATAAAGGTCTGGACGCAGAGGTGGGGATGTCGCTGCTTGGGGGTTTTGGTGCCCCCACATTCCGGGGTTCAGATGGGGTTTATTTACAGAGTGGGAGGGCAGCATGGGGGGGGGTCACTGGAAGTCCTGCGGGTCAATGTGCAGCGGGGGGAAGTCACCGGCCTCGGCGAAGAGGGAGCTCACGACGGGCAGGGGGGCCTCGGCCTGCGGCAGGAAGGGGTCCCGGCGGCCCAGGAGCGCCGCGGAGCCTGCGGGACGGGGCCGGTCAGCGCCCGGCGGGGCGGCCGCTGCAGCCCGCCCGGCCCGCGGCTCTCGACACTCACAGGCCGCCCCGGGGCCGAGCCGCCCCAGCAGCCCGGGCTCCAGCTCCGCGGGCTCCAGCTCTGCTGGCTCCAGCTCCGCGGGCTCCAGCGCGTCCAGCGCCCTGTCGGCCGGCTCCAGCGCCTCCAGCAGCTTCTGCAGGTCCAGCTCCTCCGCTGCCAGCAGCTCCAGCTCCCCCGGGGCCACCTGCAGCGGCCTCTGCTCCCCGGGGAGCAGCTGCAAGTTCAGTGGCGGCTCCAGGGCTCCTGAGCCCGGCTGCGACGTCCCTTGGTCCCCTGGTGCCACGTGCTGTGTCCCCAGGCCCCCCAGCGCCGGCTGCAGCGTCCCCAGGCCCCCAGGTGCCACCTGCAGCGTCCCCTGGCCCTCGGAAAGCGGCTGCAGCACCAGCTGGGGCTCCACAGGCCCGGGCTCCAGCTTCAGCGTCACTTGGTCCCCAGGTGCCACTTGCTGCAGCCCCTGGAGCCCCGGCGGCGGCTGCAGCGGCTCCAGGCTCTCAGGCAGCACTTGCAGCATCCACAAGCTGTCGGGTGCCACCGGCACGTGCTCCTGGCCCTTGGGGACCAGCTGCAGCACCAGCGCCGGTTCCGCGGCCCCAGGCGCCGGCGGCAGCAGCTCGGGGACCCCCGTTCCCACCTGCAGCGGCGGCTCCGGGCGCGCGGGCCCCGGCGTCCCCGGGCTGCAGGGCACCGCCTGCAGCGCCGCCGGCTCCCACGGCTGCAGCCGCAGCGTCTCCAGGTCCTGCGTGGCGGCCGCCAGCTCCTCGTTCACGCGCCTGCAGGCGGACACGGGGCTGCGGCCACAGGGCAGCGCGGGCCGGGCGCCGCGGAGGCCGGCGGCCGCGGAGGCCGGGCCTCACCTGGAGGACACGCGGATGAGGCGCTGGTTCAGATACTCCTTCTTCCCCGTGAGGCTCCCTGGGGGCAGACGGCAGAGTGCGGCGGGGGCCCGGGACGGGGCCAGCCCCACGGCGCGGTGCTGGCCCGGGGCACAGTGCCATCCGGGCCGTGCCGCACCTGCCTGCCGCTGGCTGTAGTGGGGCCCGAAGGCCTCGTCGCGGTCCCGGTCCGGGTAGAGGAAGCGCAGCGGGTTCTCGGGGATGTTCTCCTCCACCAGCAGCTGGTAGTCGTGGATGATGTCGGGCAGCGCCAGGGCTGCCAGCTCGGTGGCCGTGTAGGGCTCCACGGCCTGGAAGGTGGGTGGCCCTGCGGGGAGGCTGCGGTGAGCGGCGCCGCGGGCGCGAGGCCGTGGGGAGGGGCGGGCGGCCCCCCGGGCACCCACCGCTCTCGGGATGCTCCACCCAGCTGAAGGTGACGCCGCCCAGGACGCTCTCGCTGAAGCGGATCAGAAAGGTGCCCGTGCGCTTCCCCCGGAGCAGCTTCTCCTCCTGCTTGCGGCTCACGAAGCCCAGGATGAGGCTGCAGGAGGGCGGCGTCACCGCGGGGCCCGCGCGGCCGCCGCCGGCCCCGGCACCGCCACCGGCCCTACCCCTCCTTCCAGAGCTGCTTGAGGTGCTCCTGCAGCAGCCCCAGGATCCCGTCCAGCCAGGCCCAGAAGGAGAAGCCGGAGGCGCCGTCCTGCAGGAGAGACCCATGAGCAGGAGCCGCAGGAGCTGCGGGAGCCATGGGGGACACAGGGGACACGGGGGGTGTCCCACCTTGGAGAACTTGTGCCAGGCCAGGGTGCTCTCCGGGGACGGCTTGGAGCCTGGGGGATGGCAGCGGGTTGGGGGGCTGCGGGGTCCCCGCGGGCGGCGCGGCGGCGGCGCGGCGGCCCCCCGGCCTCACCAAAGAGCTTCCTGGCCAGCATGTGCAGGTGCTCCCGGGCCAGCCCGCGCTCGGCCGCGCTCTCGAACTGCCAGCTCAGCACCTCGGCCAGGCGCGGCCAGGGCGCCGGCGGCGGCGCCGCGAAGAACAGCTGGTTCTGTGGGAGACGGTGTGAGTGTGGGGCGCTGCCAATGGGGCGCCCAGCGGGAGCCGGGGACCGGAGCGGGGAACGGAGCGGGGACGGGACACAGCGGGCAGGATGGGGACAGAGCAGGGATACAGGGACTGGAGCAGGGACAGGGCACAGCGGGCAGGATGGGGACAGAGCAGGGATACAGGGA